TCTCTCTTTCTCTCTGTGCCTCGGTCTATCTCTCTATCTCTCTCTACTTTTTCACTCCTCCCCACCCGCCATTCTGTCTCCCCTTTATTTCCTCTAACTGTATCTCTCTTTTTGTTTCCTCTATTTTTAATCTTGTTTATGAAGAAGAAGACAAAAATACTATAATAATATTTGAATATGCGATTGAAACGAATATAATATTATACACCTCGCTATATTCAATACAACTGCGTATGCGTAAAGTATTACAGGCTCAGTAAGAAACAAATGATTCTACTGATCTATATTGTGTATAGTCGCTCTATTTCCCGCTCTCTCCGGCTCTCTCTGGCTCTCTTTCTCTCTCTCTCTCTCTCTCTCTCTCTCTCTCTCTCTCTCTCTCTCCTTCTCTCTCTTTTCCATGTTTTAAGTGCATTCATACAACGAGGAGAATACATTCCTTTGTTAGTAAATATGACCAGGCGCATAGATTACACATGCTGTTTTAAAAGATGTAATTTCCTTTTTGGAAAACAATTCTTAGATTTTCAACCCAACCCAACCCACCTCCAATCCCCAGTACCTTTACTGATTTGGATTTTTACCTTAAGAACTTTCCTGCAATTTTCAGCAATTTTCAGTTCATTCATATAATCAAATTGTTATCATCGTTAAAGAGATTTTACCCTTTTCATCTCCTTGGCGTTGCATCTTGATATAACCTTTCCTTAATAATTTTGCCCAGAATTGCTATCATTTCTTGTGTATGGAATAAACTACAGTACTAATGCCCTTATTCATCTATAGGGTTACTAAAAAGACTGGTATTTTGTCCATTTGAATCCTGAACATTTCTGTTTGAACGCAAGCCCAAAAGAAACAACAGCGTTATCTGTGGAATTTGTCTCGTCACTAGCGAGGGGCATCTTGTGAACAAATAAGGCGAAAGAATAAGGAGAATTAACCAAACAGGGTCAACAGTTTCGTTCCTTGTTGACAGTGTTAAGTGCAAGGGTGACGTGAGACAACTGGAGATGGGTGTGCATACTGGCAGCCAGATGGTCAAACTGACAACTGATTTGGGGGTTATAGGAAGCTGATGGGGCACCAACGTAATGAATAAGTCGTAAGAACAAAGAAAGGGATGCGTAGGGAAGGAGGGGTAAGGAGGGTATCTAGGGCTGAACAGAGGCAAGGGATGGCCACACGCACACACAGACACACACGCGCACACACAGAGAGGGGTGCAAGACAAAATAGTCTACAACGAGACACAGCTACTGGTGAAGCAGTTTAGAGATGTTGCTGGAATTGTCCATCATTTTGTTGGTAAAACGTGTTCTGTGTTCTCTGATGTATGTTTCCTTAAAGTTCAGATTTACTTTCGTCACACTGGGTAATCATGCGATGTGTGTGATAACTGAGGTTTTTGGAAGTAAACGTGCAAAAAGAAAACGATATCTTATTACCCAAAAGAACTTGTTTAACGAGCAATTAATAGAAATCTTCTCTGCATGTCTTTCACTTCTAAGAAACAGACGTTCCACCTTTCTTACACTCCTCATTTCAATTAAGGAAATTTCAACAGGAATAAAATAAAACAAGGAAGCCCTTTCTATGAAACTTTTCTCCACGTAAAACAAGAGACAAAACGCTTATATTGCCCTATCTTTCTTTCCCTAGTCCAATCAAGCATAAAAAAGGGGGGGGGCAATTAAATCATATAGGTCTTAACCTAAGACAACTACTTTTGTAGATAGACAAATGTCTTTGAGATCTGTAGCCACCCACTTGCAAATGTTACTTCTAAACCCACCATGTTGCGTACAGTTTGTTTGGGGATCGGGTAATGAATGACACCACAGTAGTGAGATGGAGTGTATCGTGGTGACCACAACAACATGGAAGTTTCTGTAGTGCAGAACACGATTGGAGGCATTGTGTTTCCTAAAGTGCGTAGCATTAGATGCCAGCGGTTGGGACAACTGTTCAAAACGGCTCGCTAGTAGAATGCAGGCAATTCTAGAGTAACACTTTCTTACAAATTTTAAATAATTTTGTATGTAATCTCTACGTCGTCTTTCAGCATGCGTTTAGAAAAACAAAGGGTGGCCTTATTGAGTTGACCTTAATAAGGATTGGCAGAAAGACTGACGTGGTTACTAGTAACCAACATACAAACAACACGCTCTGATCTGTGATCACTTTTGACCAAAATAGGATTGATTGATGAACGTCTAATGTAACAGTAGTGGAACTGGGCGTCCACCTACCGCCTGTCAAATAAGCTGTTGACAGTTCTAGAGATGACACAAGTTGCACTTCATTGGTGCCTATTTCGTTATGGTTCTGTTGGAATTGACTGATGTACTTTACACTTCTGTTTTCAAAAGATCCAGTGTATTGTGAGGAAAAGAGAGTTTACTTCTTTGTTTGAAATACAACACCTATCGACCAAACAATAGGTATAGGAAAAGGAAATTAAGTAAATGCTAGGAAAAAGTAGGTGATGGTAATAATTTCTGAAAATAGATAACATATTCCAAAAATTCATATCTATAGAGTCTTCATATTAAGCTTTGGTGATCAACCGGCCAGAGGTGATCTGATTATAGTAGCACAGGTGAGGGCAGGATGGGTGACTGACTCCCAGAGTGCGGAGAAGAAGGATAACTGCATCACCTGCACCCTGGCTCTCCCGCGCCATCCTCTCTCAGCTCCGACACAATGGACAATGCAATAGTGGGTGGCATCGAGGAGAAAGGAATGTCAGCTAAACATAGACAACATCCGGAGAACACCAACACAGGCTGCAAGAGTACCTTTGTGTCTGAAACCAAGGGCTAGACTCATAATATTAAGGAGTTCAATGCTTTCTTTGCTTCGTCAAGCCACAAAGAAGACCGTATTGTTTATGTTTGTTGTTTTTTTTTGCTTTTGTTTGCTTTTTAAAAATAAAATGGCTCCAAAAATATTTTTCACTGTTCGCATTTGACTAAACGCTTCCTTTAAGAATAAAGGAAACTTGTTAGAATTTTCAGCGTAAGTTTTTTTAGATGTTATTTTTACGTGGCAAGCATTTTAGCGATGTTAGTTCGTTATCGTTAGACCAAGAATAAAGAAAGCATTGAGGAATAACAACATATACTTAACTGTAACCAAAGTAACAGTGCTAAGATTCAGGACTCCTATCACATAACAAAAATGTCCAATGTCTGCAAAAAAAGAAGAAAAAAGTATCTAGTGACGTTCACTACCGAGCATGGCCAGCTAAGAATATTATACATATACAGCCTCTGGATCCAAGGAGAGAGAGAACAGGCAGAAAACTGGCGACTTACCCGGCTAGCACGATGAAGCAGTCCAGACGGTTCCAGTAGTCGGCCAGATACGTGTCCTTGCCCCAAACTCCCATCGCCACCATCTTGATAACCATCTCGACGGCAAAGAAGCCGAAGATGAAATGATCAAATCCTTCCAGAATTCGGCACCTGGAAATAAACGTCAAGTCAAGAATGAGTCTAAGGCAGTGCTTATCAACCTGGGAGTACTTGGTAATTTTTTAATTAAAAAAAAAAATTATTATTATTTGTTTTTAATTAAAACAATTTTTAATTATTTTTTTTTTTTGGGGAGGGGGGGGGGGCGATGGGGAATCATCTAGGTAGTGACGGGTGTTATTTAACGTTTAGAAATGCATGTGGGTGGACGGAACGAAGAGGTTAGAAAAACAATGTCAAAGTAACCCGTCTCCCAAAATTGTGTGAAAGGAGGCTTACACTTTTTCGCTTACAATATATGTAGATGGATGGATGGATGGATGGATGGATGGATGGATGGATGGATGGATGGATGGATGGATGGATGGATAGATAGATAAATAGATAGACAGACAGATAGATAAACAGATAGATAGATAGATAGATAGGAAGATAGATAGATAGATAGATAGATAGATAGATAGATTGATAGATAGATAGATAAATAGATAGATAGATAGATAGATAGATAGATAGATAGTGGAAGAAAAAGAGAGAAAGAGAGAGGGAGAGGAAGACAGAGAGACAGACAGGGAATGTGTGTCTGTGAGTGAGAGAGATAGAGAGAGAGAGAGAGAGAGAGAAAGAGAGAGAGAGAGAGAGAGAGAGAGAGAGAGAGAGAGAGAGAGAGAGAGAGGGAGGGAGCTCCAGAACTTACCTGAACGTATCGCAGACCACGTCGTTACACGGCTGATACATGCCCAGAGTCACACAGTTCAGAATGATGACAAACATGCTGATCCGCTCGAACCATGTGAGGCAGGTTAAGGAAATTCACCTTTTTTGTTCGTATACTTAGTCATTATATCATTTTAAGATGGGCATATATAGTAAATAGTCATTTTAATAATGAAATTTGAATGCAAATAAAAGCGAGAGTTGGTAGATTATTTTAAGAAAGACAATACAGAGGAACATGCAATTAACAAGTAGGAGTATATTATTTCGAGAAATGTAATGGACATTAAGTGATTCATGAATATAATAATATGGACATAATTTATTAAGACGAAAAGTTTAAATGAATATTTTAAAATGTATCATTTTAAGAAATAAAATGGGCAAATGTGAGAAACAAAAAGCAAAGGAAATACAAACAAGCCAGAGGGAGAAAGAGAGAGAGAGAGAGAGAGAGAGAGAGAGAGAGAGAGAGAGAGAGAGAGAAAGAGAGACAGAGAGGGAGACGAAAAAGAAGAAGAAATAAATACATAAGTGGAGGCAACCAGAGATTCTACGAATTGATCCAAAATACCATGACACTAAGATGAAAATGTTCGTGTATTGAAGGTGGTCCGTGTGAATGTAAATGCAATAAAAGTGAAGAAAAAAAATTACACGAATGTGTATGTATTGCGGCAAGAAAGCACAAGGGTGTAATTTCACATAAAAACTCTCAGTACAATATAGATTATGAATTAGGAAGGGCAAATTATGAGAGCTGTATACGCCAGCATGAAATTACTTTTTTCTTCCTGACCCAGCATATTTGTTTCCTTTTCGAAATGTTTTACTCTATTTTTTTTTAAAGGAAGCGGTGTGGTTGTGGAGCCAAGTGATTTATTTCGACCATGTTTATCTCTTGATCTGAAGACTGAAGAGAAATCACACACACACACACACACACACACACACACACACACGCAAACACACACACACACACATACACACACGGCGCGCGCGCGCATAGAGAGAGAGCGAGAGAGAGAGGGAGAGAGAGAGGGAGAGAGAGAGAAAATTGAGTTTATTCCCCCGTGAATATACATTTGTATATATATATATATATATATATATAGATAGATAGATAGATAGATAGATAGATAGATAGATATATATATATATATATATATATATAAATATATTATATATATTAGATACGATGGGAGATACGTCATATGGTGAAGTTAAAAAAAGAGGGAAGGAGTAGCCATAGGTCCTGTTAAGAACTGCTTAAAGGAAATGGATTCTTTCAATGGCAAAAAGATAGCAATGGATACTAGGCACAAGCGAACTTCGGAAACTATAATAATAATTCTACATGTATATATTCATAAGTATAAACTATTGCAGAAATCTCATTCCACTATGTCGAGTGAGCTAAGCGCAGTTTTGATGAGAATGTTTTTCGAATCAAATACCTCTGGCATTGTTTCAAAGTGTTATTTTAATGAAGTAAAACTACTGACTCTCGTGGCAGAGTAAATTGAATAGAAGTCCGTCTGTTATTTTCGCAACTGATGCTGTTTCTTTGCAGTTCGGTTTTTGGAATATCAACCCAAAAGGCAAGAAGGAGATGAAAGGTATTCACAGTAGGCCAATTGACGCACTAACAGAGATGCATATTGTAGCTGTTCGATGTACAGCAACGTTGATGTAGAAAATGTTCTCGATTTGATATGAGATGAAGGTAGTAATCATGCAAAGAGGAGATGTAAGATATTGATACAAGGCACATTAACGGACTAACAAGGGTATGCATTGTAGCTAATCGGTGGCACCACAACAACGTTGATGTAGAAAATTTACTCGATTTGATGTGAGATAAAGTTAGTATACCGAGACAGAGGAGATGTAAGATATTGATACAAGGCCAATTGACGGACTAACAAGGCTATGCATTGTAGCTGATCGGTGTACTACAACAACTTTGCTGTAGAACAAAACTTTAGCTTTGATAATATATTAAGATGAAGTTAGTAAAGAGACACAGAGGTCATAACTTTCGTGTATAACAAAGCGAGAGGTCAGCGTGGAGATCAACTGGGTCATAGAGAGGCGGTTCTCGGCCACCTGCTTCAGACGAACGTGCGTGACAAATTGGATTTGTGGTAGAGAGCAGGGGAATCACATGAGTCACACTATCGATTGGGTGTCTTCTGTCAACACTAGAGTACACCACAGACCTGAACAAGGAACACAAACAACGGACTTTACCAGGAGAAAAAAATGATACAAATAAATGTATATGGCGGCCATGATATCATAAATCTTCGATGTTTCTTCTTTAAAGAATGTGTGGTCAAAAGCCAACAACGTACCTTTCCACAATTGAATAACATTCAGAACCAAATAAATAGACAAACAAGTATAAAACACAAAAATTGAATCAAATTAAATCGAAAATAAAAAGAGAAATAGATCTCAAATTAGACAAAGGGTGGATTTTCAATGACAGATGTTTCAGCTCTAGTTAATAACATAATACAGAAGAAATTCAATTGGAGTTAACCGAGAATGTTTTTGAAACCAGAATCGTCAAAACAGTTTTGTTTAAACGCAGCCAAAAAGAGAACAATGGAAATGGCACAGGGCATGAGGGACTTGGGCCTTTATGGGCTGAATATCAAACATTAAACCACGCTAACACGCTCAAAAACTTGAATATTCATATAGACACAAAATCTATTGCACACGCCTGAACGCACGCACATGCATGCTCACACAGACACACACACACACA